TTTCGTGCACAAAAAAAGGCCATTATTTTGTACTTGTCAGACACCCAGGTCAAAAGTTGCCAGAACCCCCCTGCATAAAATTCACTTAACCCCTTAAAACCGGAGGACGTACAATTACGCCCTCTAATAGGCGGCTCTAAACGCCGCCGGGCGTAATTGTACGCCCTCCGGTTTTTGTTAACTTACCCGGTCGCCGGCGGTCCCACGCCGGCGATCGCGGTTGGGGGGACTCCCAGGGAGCCCCCCGCGGCACCTCCGTCCTCCTGGAAGCCCCCCGGCCATGTGAGAGTGGGGTCCTAGTGAGGACCCCACAATCACATGGCCGGGGATAGCTGGCTTCTGTATTGCCGGCAGGGGGGCTGCCTGTAATTACAGGTGGTCCCCCTGCTGGCTGGAAATAAAAATAAAATAAGTTAATGGTGTAAAAAAAAAAATTATATATACTTTGATCATATATATATATTATATATATATGATCAAAGTATATATATACACATATACATACACACATGTACACCGTCTAGGTGTATTTTACTATTAATATATATATAATTATATATATATATTAATATCAAATTACACGTAAACTGATACTGATTAAATATATATATAATTATTGTTATATATATATTTATATATAATATAAAAAAAATAAAAATGTAAATACGTTAAAAATAAAATTAAAAAAATAATTAAAAATAAATAATTAAAAAATATATAGATGTGTGTTATTTCGTTCTAACTGTTTTGTGAAATTAATATATATATATATATATCAAAATACACGTAGAACGAAATAATATATATATCTACATAAATATATACGTATATATCACTATATATATATATATACCTATATATAAATAAAAATATTTTAAAAAAATTATATAGATATATACATATATATACACATACGTATATATATACATATATTGATTCTACACATATATTTATGTAATATTTTTACATAATTAGGTATCTTAATTAATTACAATTAGCAGGACCTGCATGACAACCCATGCCGAAAGTAAAGGGAATTTAATTTGCTAGCACTATATTTAACCCTATAACTTTCCGAGACACCATAAAACCTGTATATGGGGGGTACTGTTCTACTCAGGAGACTTCGCTGAACACAAATATTAGTGTTTCAAAACATTAAAATGTATTACAACGATGATATCACCAGTAAAAGTGACGTTTTTTGCATTTTTCACGCACAAACAGCATTAAACGGACAATATTATTGCTATGATACTTTTTACTGTTTTGAAACACAAATATTTGTGTTCAGTGAAGTCTCCCGAGTACAGCAGTACCCCTCATGTACAGGTTTTATGGTGTTTTCAAAAGTTACAGCGTCAAATATAAGGCTTGAGTTTAATTTTTTTCACATTAAAATTCGCCAGATTGGTTACGTTGCCTTTGAGACCCTATGGTAGCCCAAGAATGAAAATTACCCCTATGATGGCATACCATTTGCAATAGTAGACAACCCAAGGTATTGCAAACAGGGTATGTCCAGTCTTTTTTAGTAGCCACTTAGTCACAAACACTGGCCAAAATTGGCATTTTTTGCATTTTCACACACAAACAAATACTAACGCTAACTTTGGCCAGTGTTTGTGACCAAATGGCTACTAAAAAAGACTGGACATACCCCATTTGCAATACCTTGGGTTGTCTACTATTGCAAATGGTATGCCATTATGGGTGTAAATTTCATTCCTGGACTACTATACAGTCTCAAAGGCAATGTAACCAATCTGGCGAATTTCAATTTCAAATGTAACGTGCTATATTTGACCCTGTAACTTCCCAAAACGCCATAAAACCTGTACATAGGAGGTACTGTCTTACACGTGAGACTTTACTGAATATAAATATGTGTATTTTATTGCAGTAAAAGCAAACAGTATTATGACACTGACCGTTAAAATATAATGTAGAACTAAAATCCAAAAAAAACGTATTTTCTCCCATTTTTTTCATATTAAATTATGTTTCATAGCTAAATATTTGATATTAAATGAAAGCCCTGTTTCCCCTGAATAAAATGATATATAATAAGGGTGGGTGCATTTACTATGAAAGAGGTGTATTACGGTTGGACAGACATGTAGCGCAAATGCCGGGTTTTGTTTACATTTTGTTTTGTTCACAACGTG